GGACACCACATCAAAACTGACAAGCAGGTCGTCTGGGGACAGGGAAATGCCTTAGATTGTCGATACCAGGTGAGTAGAATTTAGTACCGCAGAGGTGTTTTTTTCCAGTGAAGGGTCGCAGTATATCAGCAAGAAAACGTGCCAGTTTATAGGTGGGGGAGTTGATAGTAGAGACGATGGGACGAAGGGGTGTATCTTATTTGTGTATCTTTGGAAGGCCATATAATCTTGGTGGTCTGGCAGCAGAGGGTTTCAATGAGAACTGTTTGGTCTGATCAATTAATGCTGTTCAATCAGAGACGATTTTGTTCGTTTTGGTAACCAGGCTGTTGGTGGAAGATCACTGTTATAAATCAGTGGGCTCACATGACATTGACTTCTCCAAGACGGAGGTTCTTTGCAAATCAACCGGATACCATGAGAGATTCGTTCATGAGGCCATTCACATATACAAGCACAGAGACAATTTCAACCGAGAAGATGGATTCTGGCTTAGTAACCATTGGAAAGATGTTTTAAACCATTTCGGTTCTTAATTAATTGTATTTTACGATGACCTTCAGACCGCAGCTCTTTCGCTGGCATTGACCCTTAATACCTCTCACACCACGGTTAATGGTATGGTTTACAACATGGAGTATAACAACGCCTCGCAGCTGTCTCTCTCCCCCTCCTCCGTTCCGACCATGGATGAACTCGTCCGTCTGAACGGGGCTCGTAGCTATCCGTGGTGCTAAAGTTGAGGGTAAGAATCCACCCATTTTTTCGCCATATAGCATTGTGATATATAACGACTTATTGTTGGTAGCTTAGCTGATTGGAGAATATATAGAGTTTATTGATAACTTTGATGTAGTTTATATTTTAGTTTTTTTATTGGTTCACTATATAGTATTCATTATATATTGTAATGTATACCCAGTTACTGTGAATAGCTCAGATGTGTAGGCCTTGACTTCAACATAGCCATTTCTGTGACCAGTCACAAGCTAATCACTCAGTTATTTCAACGCTAAATTCGCCTAGTTATTTCAATGCCAAATTCTCCTGTTTGATTTGTACTAGGTGCCTTTGTGAATGTATATGCTCTGACTTTAACATAGCTATTTCTGTGACCAGTTACAAGCTAATCACTCAGCTATTTCAATGCTAAATTCTATGCTAATTCCTTTGTCAAGGGGTGCCTCTGCGGATGTGTATGCTTTAACTTAGCTATTTCAATGCTAAATTCTAAGCTAATTCCTTTGTCAAGGGGTGCCTCTGCGGATGTGTATGCTTTAACTTTAACATAGCCATTTCTGTGACCAGTCACAAGCTAATCACTCAGCCATTTCAATGCTAAATTCTATGCTAATTCCTTTGTCAAGGCGCTTTGTTTCTTCTCACACAGCTTAAAGGTCGCGATCTGAGCGTGGCTTTTTCACTCCGGCGCTGTCCTCCAGACAGTCTCGTCCCTTCACCTGATGAAGGCCGCTTGTGTTATGGCCGAGACGTCGTGAGAATATTGAGTTATTTTATTTGATCAATTTATTATTTTATTCTCATTCTACGTGACTTTACCGAAAGAACCAAAGAAGATTTAACATAGCTATTTCTATGACCAGTCACAAGCTAATCCCTCAGTTATTTCAATGCTAAATTCTCCTGTTTGATTTATACTAGGTGCCTCTGTGGATGTGTAGGCTTTGACTTTAACATAGTTATTTCTGTGACCAGTCAAAAGCTAATCACTCAGCTATTTCAATGCTAAATTGTCCTGTTTGATTTGTACTAGGTGCCTCTGTGGATGTGTAGGCTTTGACTTTAACATAGTCATTTCTGTGACCAGTCACAAGCTAATCACGCAGCTATTTCAATGCTAAATTATCCGAACCAAACATTAAACTAATTTTCAATGGTACAGTATATTTTTTCAAGTAGTGGTATCCCAAACTTTCGCAGCAGCTTAAATTCCCTTTTCACACCATCAATATGTAAACTCCCCCTCCCCCCTCGCCGGTCTGCACATGTTCACCCCCTCTACACCGTTCATTATGCTAAGTCCGCCAATTAAATGCTAATTTTTATGCTAATTCCTTTGTCAAGGCACTCTGTTTCTTCTCACACAGCTTAAAAGTCGCGGTCTGAGCTTGGCTGTGTTCGCTACAGCGCTGTCCTCCAGACAGTCTCGTCCCTTCACCTGATGAAGGCCACTTGTGTTGTGGCCGAAACGTCGTGATAATGTTATTGTTATTTTATTTTATTAATTTATTATTTTATTCTCATTCTACGTGACTTTACCAAAAGAACCAAAGAAGATGAATCCTTGCAGTCACGAAAGCTTTAAATCAGTATTCTTGTCCGTCGCTTACGTTTATCTGGGGGTTGTATTGGTTACGACTGCATTGGGAGCCGTGTCCCGCTGCACGAAATGCACATTGGGGCCACGTGCATGCTAAAACCACTGAAGCTAGCACGGGGTTCTGGTTTATCCTATAAACCTCGTGCCCATATTTCATGTACCGTGCAGTCTTGTTGATGTTGGTTGTCAGATCCTCCGTTCTGTCAAGGGGGGTGGAGGGAGCGAGGGGCTTGATCCAATCAGCGGCTTTACGATTCGCCATAACGGTACTCTCTTAAATCACAATTTGCATGGTTTTTAAATATTTTTTTCTTTCATCAATCTCTCAATATGATCTGGCTGTTGAACGGTACCTGTGGTGCAGTTTAGTCCAAGCTGTCTCTCTCTCTCTCTGCGCTGTAGATTATAGCCATGCAAGCAGTTCAGCCTCGCTTTCTTGCACCTGCCAGAGAGTCACTTGTAGTTACTAAACATCATGCAAACGCAAGCATCAGTTCGGCGTGATGTCCAACGTTTCGCACCACGTTCCGGGCGCTTCTCAGTGAGAAACTGAATGCAGCGGCTCCCGTTCGCCCTCGATACATCTATTCAGTTCTATGCTCCCAGCACGTGCAGCAAAACGTCGGACATCATGCCAAACATACATCGATTTCAAATGACCCTCTGACTTTCTTGTCAACAGGTGATTGAATATTGTGAAAGCGATGGCACCGTGTCTTACAGAGGAGAGCGTTAACATATGTAATCAGCGTAGTATGGTTGGTGGGAGACGTGAAGAGGAATTGGATACCACACTGTGTCCTCTATAATGTATACCGATTGTTTTAGTGAGGTGCCTAAACATGGATAATGATCCTGTGAACTACACATTGATTCCTCTGCCCATGTTGATGACTTCAGACACTGAGTGTTTCGTCTCATGCATCACATTGTGTTCAACCACCACCACGCTGTAGGTCACAGCCACTAACCCACTCACCCACCCATACCGTCACCCACTCGCCTATCCACCCATCTACTCACCCACTCATCCACTTACCCATCCACCGACTCACCCTCCCTCACTCACCCACCCTCTCACTCTTCACACTGTAGGTCACAACACCGTCTCCACCTCTGCCCTCGCACTGCTCCACTTTGAAATGCATCGTCTCTGTTCCCCAAGCTCTCACAATAACAACAACCTTTCTAAATTCAAGACAGTTTAACTCATATCCATTACAACTTTAGTATTGCTCTTTGTTACTGGCCGCTTGGGGCCTTTGCTCAACAGCTGTGACTAAATACAAACGAAACACTTTTATTTGACCAAGTAAGGCTCACTGAGCTCCGTAGCGCTTTGTCAGAAGCGACCTGTCTATCACAAATGATAGCTCAACAGAGTGGCTTATCGTGTGGCAATTAACATCAGCCACCTACTCTAAACACGTGTTCCTAAATGTGGAGGGGAAAACCGGAAGACCCGGAGAAGAATCCACGCGACCACGGGGAGAGACACACAAACTCCAAATATACAGGCGTCAGGGTCGGGGTCGAACCCGCCTACTCCTGTATACCAGGCGATGGAGTAAACATCTCGCCACCGCGGCGCCCCAAAGAGTCTCCCTACGAGTCCCAGCCAACCTGAGTTCAATTCTTACCCTGGGACACGAGTGGAGCATTGCTTCTGAGCCACCCCAAGGCCACTGCTTAAGTTGATGTGGATGTAGCCGAGTTCCTCTGGGTATTGCGACAGGGTCGTGAATGAACCCACGACCTACTGTATACCCGGCGAGGTAGTTAACATCTCCTAGCCACCCTGGCGAGACATAAAATAAAATAATGGTTAACGTCCGCGCACTGCCCGGCGAGGAATATTCCGACGACTCGTCTCGTAACTGGACTCCCCCGGACTCCCGGAATGGATTCCTTGCCCCCTCTGTTCGGTCCGCGGGGGGGGGGGGGGCTGAGTAATAACTCTACCCGGGTCACGGCGACACCAGGGCTGCTATGCAGGGGGCGTTGACAAATATCCATTCTGCTGCCACGGTCAAAGTCAACTCGTAAGGAAAGCCTTGTTTGTGCCTTACCGAAGACGATCATGACTCCTCTTTCAGGAGGGTCCTGCCACGTTTTCGCAGTATGGGGCGATGTTGCTACTGCTCCTTGTGTTCCCAATTTAGTAATTTGCCAATAATTATTCAGCATTGGGATGTTTGGCCAATTTCAATTGCACTGTGTGTTTTTTCGCCCCTAAGTAGATGCATACGACGTCTCCTTCACACATCTATCCATCCACGTACAAAAAAACACGCAAAAGTTTTTTTAAAATTAGTATTATTATTATAAATCCCGTCAGCCCCAATACTTCTGGGAGTGCAGAATACCAGCGGCGTTGGTTGAACGAGAGCACAACTCTGGGCCGGTTTCGAGCATCCGCGTCTCATCAGACGAGTTGGACAGATGCGAATGGATTTCAAGATGTTGTTGGCAAGAGCACTCCAGATAATCTATGGGACCCCGTTCAACGGAAGAGGCAATGTCAAGTTGATGTAGGGTGCTGCTAAAGTTATCACGCTGCTTGCTGTCTGTCTTTCTGTGCATCTTCCCGTACTCCCCTCTCCCCGTGCGCCCCTCTCCCCGTGCGCCCCTCTCCCCGCGTGTCCGCGTGCGAGTGTAGCTCTCTGAGACCCAGGCGCGCGTGTCCGAGGGACGGCAGCTGCTGGAGTCGCGACTCGGCGAGAAGGAGCGGCTGAGCGAGCAGCTGAGGCTCGCGCACGACTCCCTGCACGACGTGAACGCGCAGGGGGGGCAGGTGGGGCCCTGCCGGGGGGGGGGGGGGGTGGTTGGGTCTATACATCTATCGGTCTGTCTATGTTTCTGCCTGTCTGTGTGTCCCTGTGTGGGGACTCACAGACAGGCAGAACATTATTTGGTCCGGTCCTGGGATTCTGCTCGGTTGACTCAGCCTCAAATGAGTACCTGGTGCGATGTGTAAACATTGCCACTAGGGAGACAAAGGCGGTCGGGCGTGGTGGTGCTGGCCACCCACCCCCTCGTGTACCTTTCCGGCCTTCAAATGTGCTCGCTAACAGCACTTACCCCAACAGTCTGTTAAAGCTACAAGGGGGATCTTTGCCTCTTTTTGTCTAGCTCCTCCGGCAGGCGAGGCTGCGTTGGCTGGGTCATGTAGCCCGCATGCCCAGCAGCCGCATGCCCGAACAGCTTTTGTTCGGCTGGATAGAGGTGGCTAAACGGGCGCGGCACGGGCTGGAGAAGAGATGGATTGATGTGGCACGAGAGGATGTAGAGCTGATTTGACTTGCCAATAACTGGAACCAGCGGTGTCAAGATCACAGCAAGTTGGCACAGTAACGAGCATAGGTGGTGCATCGGCCAGTCATCTCAGTCAGTCAACCCATGGCACCTGGGTCTGTCCCGTGACCTCCTGCCAGTGGCCGTTCGACACTTCACGTGATCTTAAAGTGAACTTAGTCTGGCACAAGCGCCGTGGTGGCGTCACCGCCACTTAGTGGCGAATTACGGTAATGATAATGGTAATGATGATGGTGGCGATGATGATGGTGGTGATGATGATGGCGATGAGGATGATGGTAATGATAAATTTGGTGATGATGGTGGTGATAATGATGATGGCGATGAGGATAATGGTAATGATGGTGGTAATGATTATGGTGGTGATGATGATGATGATGGCGATGACGATAATAGTAATGATGATGATGATGGTGGTGATGATGCAGATGGCGATGAGGATAATGGTAATGATGATGGTGGTGATGATGATGGTGGTGGTGATGATGGTGGTAATGATGATGGTGCTGCTGATGATGATGGTGGTAATGATGGTGGTGGTGGTGATGATGGTGATGATGTGTGCAGGGTGCGTGGCTGATCGTCATCTCCATCTTCACGCTGCTTGTCTCCATGCTCCTCGCCTCCATGTGGCCACGCATCGTTCGCGGCGGCGGCGTCTACTGAGGACACTCGGCGACGATGGCTACGATGGTGATGATGGTGATGATGACGACGATGATGGTGATGATGGTGATGATGACGACGATGATGGTGATGGTGATGATGATGATGACGACGATGATGGTGATGATGACAACAATGGTGATGACGACGATGGTAATGATGACGACGATGGTGATGATAATGATGATGACGACGATGGTGATGATGGTGATGATGACAACAATGGTGATGATGACGACGATGGTAATGATGACGACGATGGTGATGATGGTAATGATGACGACGATGATGGTGATGATGACCACGATGTTGATGATGATGACGGCGATGGTGATAATGATGGTGATGATGATGATGGTGATGATGACGACGACGATGGTGATGACGACGATGGTGATGATGATTATGGTGACGACGATGTTGATAATGATGACGATGGTGATGATGATGGTGATGATGACGACGATGGTGGTGATGATGATGACAATAATGGTGATGACGACGACGATGGTGATGATGGTGATGATGATGGTGATGATCATGATGACGATCATGATGACGATGATGATGGTGATGATGACAATAACAATGAAAGGGATAACGACGGTGAAGAAGGTGGTGACGGGGATGGCGATGATGGTGATGATGATGGTGATGATCATGATGACGATCATGATGACGACGATGATGATGATGGTGATGATGACAATAACAATGAAAGGGATAACGACTGTGAAGAAGATGGTGGTGACGGGGATGGCGATGATGTTGATGAAAGATAACGATGGGCAAGATAGGTATTGTGTAGGATTATCGTGATGAAGCTGCTGACGATGATACTGATGCAAATTACAATGATGGCGATAGCGGTGATGGTAACGATGAGATGAATTATGGATATTTAAGAAATTACGATGGTACAGGCGGCGACGATGACGACGTTGAAGGAGGGTGGAATGGAGGTGGACTATTATGTTTGTGATGATGATGGTCACGGTGGTGTCACGGTGGCGATGGTGGTTGTTCTGATGAACGTGTTCATATGATTGATTCTATACAACAACGACCATGCACTCGTTATGTGATGATGGCAGCGGCGATGATTATAGAGATGATCTGATGTCAACTGTTTGAAACGGATCATGATTAATTACCACCATGATCATCACCGCCCTGAGCGTGATGCTGACGACGAGGTAACCATTTGACTGTCACACCTGTTCAGTAATTCTGACTGCTGCCATCTCCCCGCGGGTAAAATTGGACGTTACGCGTACTAAGCGAACGCGCAGCGAACTGGGCGCTCCGAGTTCGATTCCCGGCCGCGGCTAACATCAGTGGCGAGTATCTGAACCAGTACCGGGCTTCCTCTACGTCGACTCAGCCTAAACTTAATATCTTGCGCGGTGTGCAAACGTCACCAATGGGGAGACAAACACGGCCGGCTGTGGTTCCTGGCCACACCGCCCCCTCGTGCGCCGTTTCGCTTGCCACCGACAGCCTGTGTAGACTACAGGGGGAACTTTGTCTTTGGAAGATATAATCACCGCACACCTTCTCGCCTCTGTCACTGCACAGAAATAGCAGCCCCCGTCACCCGGCTTTTGGGTGGAGGGGTGAACTCTGAACGCGCGGAGTCTTTTGGCCGTGACGCGGGGCGCCGCGGTGGCTGGGAGATGTTAACAACCTTGCCCGGTATTCAGGAGCTCGTGGGTTCGATCCCGACTCTGATGACGCCTGCTGAATATTTGGAGTTTGCGTGTTCTCTCTCCGTGATCGCTTGAATTTTTCTCGCGCTCCTCCGGTTGTTTTCCCCTCCGCATTTAGAATCAACGTGCGTTTTAGAGTATTTGGTTTATATAAATATCCACGTGATGAGCCAATTCGTTGAACTATCATTTATGGTAGCCACATTGCATCTTAAAAATATCTATTGAGCTCAGTGGGCCTACCTGGCAAATAAATTAATAAATATAGCTCCGTTTGAGTCATCTTCACGTCTAGGTCTCGCGAGGAGTCATTGCCCACGGCACCCAGGTGATGAGGATGATGGTAGATACAGGTGATGATAGTAGTCATGATAGTGCTCGTCGTCTTTAATTCGTTGCATACATCGTGAAAATGTCTCTTGTTCAATTCGTTAAATATCATCAGCAGCAGCATCACCATAATCATAATCAAACTTCATCCACCATCATCATCATCCTTCAATTTGAACATCATACAACATCATCATTCAATATCACCATTATTGCCGTTGTTATCCGTAGGATAATGGGGAGATGGGGACCAGGGCAGGGGGTCGTTTGGGTCGAGGCTTCCTCGAGTCCCCGCCGGTTCCACAAACACGCGGCTGACGCGGGGAGCCGCGTTCCCCTGCGCTGCCGTCGAGTCCGCAGGAGAGAGGCATCCTTCCTGGGGTGGTGCGGGGGGAGGGGAGCGGCAGAGGAGGGGGAGGGGAGGGGGAGAGAAGGGGGAGGGGGAGAGGAGGGGGAGTGTAAGGGGGAGAGGAGGGGGAGGGGAGGGGGAGGAGAGGGGGGTTAGAGGAGGGGTTGCGGTGTCTCCCCACCGGCCTCGGGGGAGCCGGGACCCCTTGGCAGCTGCTGGAGCTGCCAAGGGGACCGCGCGGGGTGGGGCGAGGGGTGGATCTCGGGACCCCTCTGTGGCTCGCACGGGGCTGGGGTGGGGCAAAGGCGCGGGGGGGGGGGGCGGTACGGGGGCCCCCAGCCCCTCCTCATTTACTGGAGGGGTTCATTCGTAGCGGCGTTGGTTGGGGGAGAAATTCCCACGTCGGCTGCGTCCCGATGGTCGCCGATCAACACCGCGGGCGCTGTGGCGAATCGCGTGGATGATTGGGCCATGGAAGCCCCCGAGAGCGAGCGAGAGAGAATCACTCGCTGCGCGTATCGCTACCGGCCGCGCGCTGTTCGCCTTTAAACTTTGCGAGAGCCCCGCACTTGGCGCGTGTCACATTCTAAAAGCGGCGCTGCAGTGGCCGTGCTGGACAACAGTGGAGAGTTTGTCACCGCCGCTGGCGCACGGGCGGTGGTGAAGCTGTCAATGCGGTGGTGGATGTGTAAAGTGCCCCCCCCCCCCCCCCCAGCTAATCTATAAGAGCTCCGCCCCACTCCCCACCCCGCCCGCCGCCGAAACTTAATCCGGCCCTGGATGTTACCAGGGCCATAATCTCTCACTGAACTTTATTATCCAGATTCTTTGGGTCTATATTCTTGGTTCTTTCGGTAAAGTCACGTTGAAGGGAAACAATAAAATATATATTTTATTATTATATTTTTATATATATTATTATTTTATTGTTTCCCTTCAACGTGACTTTACCGAAAGAACCAAGGATATGAATCACTGCAGTCACGAAAGCTTTAAATCAAAATTCTTTGGGTCTTTCGATGAAGTCACGTAGATAGGTTCAATTTTTTCATATTTTTATTTAAAAAATGTGTAACCTTTCTACGTGACTTTTTTTTACCTATCTACGTGACTTTACCGAAAGACCCAAAGAATATTAATTCCTGCAGCCACGAAAGCTTTAAGTCAAGGTCATTATCCAGGTCGCTGGTAGTGGACTGGAATAAGTGGTTCGTTACTCGTATACATATACTGGATGTTGTGTGCCGGCTGAGGAAATAAACTTCCCTGGTCGCTGACCTGGACAGACCTGGCTGAAAATTATTTGTCTGTCTCCGTGTGTCCAAATGTTTGGGTGCCATGGTAGCGAGGAGATGTTAACTACCTCGCCTGGTATACAGCAGGTTATGGGGTTCAATTCCGACCCTGATGCCTGCTCCTGTATATTTGGAATTTGTGCGTCTTTCTCTCTCCCCGTGGTCGCGTGGATTTTTCTCCGGGTCCTCCAGTTTTCCCCTCCATATTTAGAAACATCTCGCGTTCAGCGTATTCGGCTGCTCTAAATTACCACTCGATAAGTCACTTCGTTGAGCTATCGTTTGTGGTGAGATCGCGCCTGTAAAAGATCTATGTAGCTCAATGGGCTTTACCTGGTAAAATAAATAAAGTGTCGTTTTTGTCTCTCTGGGAAAACTTGTGCAGTCAGCCTCGCCACCAGAGAACGCATCGCGACTCACGTGTCCGTGTCTGTCACTGTGTGTCTTTGTGTATCTGTCTTTATCTGTGTATGTGTCTTTGTATCTGTGTCCGATGTCTTTGCGTGGTGTCTGTCTCTCCAGGTGTCTCCCTGGTGGATTATAGAACAATGCGCCCAGACACCACGGGACAGACCGCATCACGAATCCACGCTCCTGCGTCCGTACGCGTGTCTCTGTGTCTACGTGCCAGTCTATGCGTGTGTCTCTACGCCTGTGCCTCTGTCTCTGCGTGTCAATCTGTCTGTCTGGTCCACGTGTCTCCCTGGGGAGTCAATTACAGCTCGGCGACCCCACGTGTCGCCCTCGTGTCAAGCTGTGACGCTGCACCTGTTTGATATCCACGGAGGACAGCAAGGGGTTGGGTTATGGGGGGGTCCGTGGGGGGGCGGGGATGGTGTTGATGGGACACAGAAGCTTTGCTCCAGCTCTTGCTGTCAAGCCGTGCCCCGCCCCTCTTGGCCTCACACCCTCCCTCGCCTCCGCTCATCGTGCACACGTAACACACGCGCACAGATAGTGCGTCAGTCCACTGCTGGATGGTTAAGGACCTCCCCGCATCGCGATGGGGGTCGTGGGGGCTCTTAGACCAGACTGGTCAGTGCCGGTTGATGAAGGTGCAGGAGACAAAACGTAGACGCGGGAGCATAGAAGTACAATGCAACGATGGATTTAGCTCCACACTGCCCTCCGATACAACCGCTGCTGCTCGTGTTATCGGATACGTGGTGGCCACCTGTACGAGCACAATCGAGGCTCAAGAGATTTCGCTTCCCAGATCTGACGAGAGATCAGATCTGGCGCACTCCGAGTGATTTGCTCGTTTGTACCAACGATACAAACGTTTAAACAAACTCTGCCAACCCCCCGCGCCCCCAGCTATTAATATGCGACTATACATAGAGGCCCGGGTGGCGCTCTGAGGATCTCATCGACAGCGCCCGACGGTACAGTGCAGCAAGCCACAACGGCCCCAATGTCC